AGTGGTTACGATGGTAAATGTTACATGTATTTCACCACAAATTTTTTATTTAATTTTTAAAATCTTTATTGTTGAGAGTATTACAGATGTCCCCATTCCCCGCCCCCCATTGCCCTCTCCACCCGGTTCCTGCCCGACCGCAGGCCTTCACCACCTTACTGCGTCCACAGGTAAGATCTTTGGTTAATCTCTTCCCACCCCACCTGCCTTGCCTCTGAGATTTGTCAATCTGTTCCATGCTTCCATTCTTCTGATTCTTTTTTATTCACCAGGTTATTTATTTATTTATTTTTACCAGTTTTATTTTTTTCATTAGATTTTTTGTTCATTTATTTTGATTTTTAGATTTGGCTGTTGATAGATATGTATGTTGCCATTTTATTGTTCATATATTTTATCCCTCCTCCTCCCCCTTCTTTCTCTTTTTAAATAATACCCTTCAACGTTTCATGTGATCTGGTTTGGTGGTGATGAACTCCTTTAGCTTTTTCTTGTCTGTGCAGCTCTTTATCTGACCTTCAATTCTAAATAACAGCTTTGCTGGATAAAGTAATCTTGGTTGTAGGTTCTTGCTATTCATCACTTTGTTCCTGGGTAAAAGACCATTAAGGTAATGTGTAAAGCAGCCCATGGAGACAGCTCTTTTTAGGTTTTCTCTCTTTTTTTTTCTTTATTGATTAAGGTATTACATATGTGTCCTTATTCCCTCATTGCCCCCCCAACCCCAAAATAGGTTTTCAATATCTTGCTTTCTCTCTTCCCTTTCTGGCACCATATTGTGAATATGAGTATGCTTGATGTCCCAGAGGCTACTTACACTTTCTTCATATTTCTTATTCTTTTTGCTCTTCTGATTGGGTGGTTTTTGCTTCCTCATATTCCAAATCGTTGATTTGATTCTGGTAATCCCCTACTGTTGAATCCCTGTAAGTTGTTCTTTATTTCAGTGAGTGTATGCTTAATTTCTGATTGGTTCTTATTTTTTTTTTGTATTTTATTTTATTTTATTGATTTTTTACAGAGAGGAAGGGAGAGGGATAGAGAGTTAGAAACACCGATGAGAGAGAAACATCTATCAGCTGCCTCCTGCACACCCGCTACTGGGGATGTGCCTGCAACCAAGGTACATGCCCTTGACTGGAATCGAACCTGGGACCCTTGAGTCCGCAGGCCGATCCTCTATCCACTGAGCCAAACCGGTTAGGGCCTGACTGGTTCTTTTCCATGTCTCTCACCTTCTCACTAAGATCCTTGAAAGTCTCAAGATCCTTGAGTAACCGTATCACCATGGTTTTAAACTCTGTATCCAGTAGTTTGCTTGCTTCCATTTCTTTCATTTGTGATATGTTTATTTGTCTTTGCATTTTCGCTGCTTCCCTGTTTGTTTCTATGTATTGGGTAGAGCTGCTGTCTCCCGGAGTTGGAAGAGTGGCCTTGTGTAGCAGGTGTCCTGAAGTTGGAAGAGTGGCCTTGTGTAGCAGGTGTCCTGTAGGGCCCAGTGGCTCAGCCTCCCCAGTCACCTGAGCTGGGCACTCCAGGTGCACCCTGTGTGCACAGCCTTGTAGTTGAGCGTCTTCTGATTGGGTGCCAGACCAGCCTGTTCCGCTTCCGCCCCTCCTACAGGTCTCAACCTGCTTTCTTCATGTCTCTAGTTGTAGGACTTCCATTCACCCAGCTTCCAGGCGGTTCTGGATGATGCTTGTTCTGTATTTTAATCGTAATTTTGATGTGGTTCTGGGAGGCGGTGAGTACAGGTGTTTACCTACGCTGCCATCTTGGTTCAACAAACTTTTAAAAGATACTCTTGGGCCCTAACCAGTTTGGCTCAGTGGATAGAGCATGTGTCTGCGGACTGAAGGGTCCCAGGTTCGATTCCAGTCAATTCTCTCTCATTGACGTTTCTGACTCTCTTTCCTTCTCCCTTCCTCTCTGTAAAAAATCAATAAAATATATTTTAAAAAATAAAATAAAAGATATTCTTGGACCAATTGGGTAATGGGAACACTGACTATATATTAGATGACATTAAGGGATTATTAATTTTTTAAAAAATTTTTTTATTGGTTTCAGAGAGGAAGGGAGAGGGGGGCAGAGATGGAAACATCAATAAGAGAATCATTTATCGATTGCCTCCTGCGTGCCTCACACGAGGGATCAAGCCTGCAATCCGAGCATATGCCCAGACTGGGAATCAAACCGCAACCTCCTGGTTCATAGGTTGACGCTCAACCACTGAGCCTCGCTGGCTGGGCTAAGGGATTATTAATTTTTAAAGTGTGATAATGACATGAACAGCGTGTTAATCTCCTAGAGACACAAACAGACCTATTTACAGATGAGATATAATGACTGGGATTTATGGTTTATAGGAAGACGAGTTACAAACTGTTTTCATAACCAGCATCAAAAATACTATATAGAACCAAATTAAAAAAATTAGTCTGAAAAAGAAACGTTTTTAACAAAAAAATTGTTGGGGAAGGGGTTAAAATAGTCCAGAAGGAAGAGAGATGTGGGGAGATAAAGAGAAACCAAATTTGTTGAAGTGGGGTACATGGCATTTTTTATGCTATTCTCCGTCTTCTTTTGGGTGAAAATGTCCATGATCAGCCCGGCCAGTGTGGCTCACTGGTGAGTGCTGACCCATGCACCAGGAGGTCTCGGTTCGATTCCTGGTCAGGGCACATGCCCAGGTTGTGGGCTTGATCCCCAGTAGGGGGCATACAGGAGACAGCCATAGATGTTTCTCTCTCTCTCTCCCTCTCCCTTCCTCTCTCTGAAATCAATAAAAATGTATTAAAATAAAAAAAACATAAAAGATAAAACATAAGAAAATGTCCATGATCAAAAAAAGAGTAACAAAAAAAGCGCCCCCCCATGACAGCTGGTTTTTCCTCCCAGCATCCTCCCTGCGGACACACCCGGAACCTTGTTTGCTGTGTCTCCCCTGGAGCGGGGGCGCCAGGGAGTGAGCTGTCTCTCTTGTTCACGGCTGTATGTTCATGGCTGTATCCCCAGCACCTGGAGCAGCTCATGCATCTCACCCATCTCACAGCTGTGGGCTGGGATCTGCGTGGCCTCCCGAGCCCGAGCTCCGAGCCACAGTCTGCATACAGTTGTCTCCACCAGCTCTGACCTCGGAGGGCCAGGGGCGAGGCTCTCCGAGGCAAACGGAGACGTGGGTGCCCTGGTAGGCAAGAGGACTCGCCCCACGTCAGGGAGAGGGAGTGAGGGGAAATGACAGAGTCTGGCTAGGAGAAGCACGCCCCCACCCCAATGCGCTGCCCTCTCGAGTGGCCCAAGCTCATGTGGACATCACTGTACCAGCCACTGCTTGTGTGGCTTCCAAACACCAAGCCCAGCTTGAGCCAAGGTCACAGGTCCCTGGGTGAGGCCAGGGTCAGCAGGCAGGGCCCACCCAGCGGCCCAGGAGCCAACCTCTGGAGAAAAGGGGCAGGTGAGGAGCAGGTCTGCCTCCGCGCTCAGAGCCCTCGGCTTGGTTCCCCGCCACTGTGAGCAGGACAGGTGAGATGCACACGCTTCCGCATCTGCAGTGAGCCTCTAGCCGGCACCGCCGGGCACAGGGCACGATCGCAGCAGTGCCAGGGCCTGGGGGCTCTGGAAACTGGGATGAGGGGGACACTGGGCACCACCATCAGCGTGCTGGAGGGGACGGGGTGCTGCCGCGGAGGGTTCTCATTGTGAATGACCCTCCTTCTCCCACCTGGGCCCTCAGGGAAGATGGCAGTCCTCCTAAAGCCAAAACAGGCCTGCAGTGTAGAAGCAAGAGCCCTGGGGTCAGACAAGTCACCCGGCTCAGCGCGCAGTGCCTCAGTTTCCTCACCCGCACAACGGGCACACCATGGGGAGGCCCACACTGGGGACCAGGAATTCGTGTTTGTGGAATCTGAGCCCACGGGTGGCTGACCCCTGCCCCCTTGCTGCTCCTGCTTCTTGGGCGATGTGGGGCCTGAGGTGCCTGGGGCTTGGACATGGTGCTGGGGAGCCCCAAAGGCCTGCTCCTCGTCCTTCCCTGGAGGCTGGTGCGTTCTGTGCGGGGGAAGGTGCTGTTCCCTCTGGGGAAGGGCCTGGGCTGAGGCAGCTGGTTCCAAGGTGGGCAGACGCACCGGGTGCAGTGGAACCAGCCTCCCCGTCTCCACAGCTGCAGGCAGCTGCCCCCTCCCTGCTTGTGCCACCTTGGGGAGGTCAGCTGGGCATTCCCTTCCCAACAGACCCGGTGGGGGAGACACAGAGGGTCTGCCACCCCATCAGACACTCTCTTATCCCAGCCCCC